CCCTTTGGGGCTGGCTACAGCTGTTCCCAGGTCTGGGCTTGGCTCCTGGGGTGGGTTCCACCCTTCGGGACTGGCTTTGGCTGTTCGGCTCTAGGTTGGTGTCTCAGGGGCTAGGTCAGGTCTTCAGAACTAGTGGCAGCCTTTGGGACTAGATTTGGCTCTTAGGCCTTGGCTGGGCTACTCTGGGCTAAGTCCATTGAAATCAAATTGACCCACGCCATGGGGAAGCCCCAGTCTCCATATGATTGCCTTAGAGCAGCGGTTCTCAACCTGTGGGTCGCGACCCTTTCACAGGGGTCGCCTAAGACCATCGGAAAACACATATATAATTACATATTGTTTTTGTGATTAATCACTATGCTTTAATTATGTTCCATTTGTAACAATGAAAATACATCCTGCATATCAGATATTTACATGACGATTCATAACAGTAGCAAAATTACAGTTATGAAGTAGAAACGAAAATAATTTTATGGTTGGGGGGTCACCACAACATGAGGAACTGTATTAAAGGGTTGCGGCATTAGGAAGGTTGAGAACCACTGCCCTAGAGGAAAGGACCCTTAAGTGAGCACACTTGGCCTAGGAGCCAGAGGTTGAAAGGACTGCTGGCTCTCCAGGGAGAGGTGCCTGTGGAAATCACTGAGACACACCAAGGCTGGCTTCCTTGGGCCTGCTGGGAGAATAGTATTGCTTAGGGGCTAGGCTGGGCTCTTCGAAGAGAGATTCCACCCTTCGAAAAAAGAAGAAGAAAGAAATAGCACACCAGTCTGGGGCCATTTGGTGAAGTATATTTGATGATCTCAAGCCACCAAGAAAATTTAAAGTAGGTTAAACTAGGTTAAAGTTTTGGGGGTTTTTTGTGTGTTGGTGGTGTTGTTTTAAAAGAAATAGCTAATGTATTTTAGAAAGGTTTCATCCAAAATGATAAAGATAAAATCTTAAGTATTAAAGTTAACCTTTATGGAAAACTCCGTTATTTAAAATGGTATTTCTAGGTTGCCAAAGAGGACAGTGAGCAGGCAGGTTTCAAAACCAATGGTTACTCACTTTAAGTGAATGTTGTTACAGATCAGCTCTGCTCTTCCCTTCTACTCTGTGCTCTTCATTCACTGCTGCCTAAGAAGTGCCTTTACCCACTCACTCCATGATTTTAGCTGGCGACACAGAACATTTGTTCATTTAACACCGTTTTAGAGCACCTACCATGTGACTGGGACCATGCCAGGCCCTAGGAATACAATGGTGTGCGAAAGATAGTCCTATGCTTAAGTGGTTCCTGGGTAATTGGGGAGAGGGACACATAAACAGATGTTCAGAATCAAGTTCAGCATAGGCTGCTATAGGATTATATAGCAGGGACATATACCCTTCTTGTGTGTGGGTGAGGGGATAAGGGGAGGGCCATGGGGGCTTCCCAGGGAAATGATGCTCAGGCTGCAATCTTAAGTAGGGAAGAATATTCCAAGCAGAGGGAATAACGTGTAAAAGTCCAGAGGCCAGAGTGCAGTGTGCAATTGGGAAACTTGCAAATACACTATGATTTATTTTGACCTATAGATACAGTGTGAGCCCAGGATAGAGGGATCATCCAATGGGGAAGGGGAGCAGCTCAGAGGGGGAAAGCCTTGTGTAACATGTGAGAGAGTTTGGATTTCACCTTGTGGGGCAGCCAGGGATCTTCGAGGGTTTTAAGCAGGTCCCCAGCTTTAAGCATCCCTCTCCGGCTCCTGTTACTTTTCTCTCTGTATGTGTGTCACTGGTCATACTCGCTTCTTTTTGTTCCTGCAAGGCCAAGGCCATTCTTATCTTAGGCCTCTGCCCCTGCCACTCCTTCTGCCTGGAATGTACTGTAAAGACTATCCTGGTTGCAACTGACTAATTAGATTCGAGTAGGGTGAGCCTAGAAACAAGGATGGAATAGGAGGCTGAAGCAGCAACCCAAGAGGGAGGAGATGGTGTTCCAAACTGGGGAAGTGGCAGTGGGGACAGAGAGACATGGACAGATGTCTGGTAGAATTGACAGTGTCCAGCAAGTGATTAACTTGGACGATAAGGGTGATACCTCAGGCCATTGATATTCAGATGGATGGAGCAGCAACGTGCTGTGATCTGATTTCCAGTGATCTGCCTTAGGATGTGTTTTGGGACCTCACTGCTTCAGTGGAACATGAGCTGCCTGGATTTGCTTGCCAAATTGTTGTGAATAGGTTCCAGCTGCATTAATGCAACCCATGGCCTTGTTTATGTCTAATCTTCACATTTATGGTTATGTGCCTTGGGCTCTCTATAACTAATACCTAATAACATGCTTACTGGTGAGCATAATGGACTAAATGAGACAAAAATCAAAGTAAATGACCAGAATGATCATGATCAAGTAGTTCTTACTAAGAACCATTAAGTGCATGGCTTGGTTTTCCATATGCAAGGTCCCTTTAACGTGGCTTATGTGATGCACTCCCTGCTAGAGATGCTTGACTCACTGCATTTGTTTAAACTCTAAAACCCAGCCATTCCCAAGCCTGGCCCCCTGAACACCAGGCTTCTACTGCCCCGAGTTTTTCTGTTTACATTTGCTACTATAGAGACTTGGTTTGTTTCCGAAAGATGCACTTTAGCATGTGTGTGGTGAGCCACATTTGTTATATTTGAACCATATGTGACGTAAAGAAGAAGGGGTAACCACTTGGCTTAGAGGGGGAAGGGGGACTTTTTGGGTTAGCAGAGATCCTTCCTGCCAATTGAAAATGAGCTGGTGAGAGGTAGATGATGGCAGAAATTAAGAGTGTGTGTGTGTGAGTGTGTGTGTGTGTGTGTGTGTGTGTACATACGTACATATGTGTGTATTTTTAGATGTCAAAAGATTAATGTGGATATAAAGCTTATTAAACTGGACCATGCTGTTTCCCAACCGTAAACACAAAGGAAAAATGCTTTCTAAGAGTCTATGTGGCTTACTTTGGAGTTGAAAACATATCACTCTTAACTGACCTAAAAGTGCTTCTAGGACCAGGCCTCATTCATGTCTTATTATAACTCACTTCTATAAGCTGTGAGGAACCAAATAGAGAAAGTAGGGAAGAGCTTCATCTGATAGTGGAGTGATTCATAAATTAATAACACAGATGTTGATTTGTGCATGGGCCACAATAAATTAATTCCTTCATTCAATAAACATTTATTTAGTATGAATTATATAGGTGTATTAGCGCTTTCTGTATAACAAATTACCCCAAAATGTAGTGACTTAAAACAGCATACATTTTTTCTTTTTTTGTTAATCCTCACCTAAGAATATGTTTTCCATTGCTTTTCTGAGAGAGTAGAGTGGAAGGGAGGGGGAGAGGGAGAGAGAGAGAAAAACATCAGTGTGAGAGAGACGCATTGACTGGTTGCCTCCTGCATGTGCCCTGACTGGGGACAGGGAGCAAACCCACAACCCAGGTACATGCCCCTGAGACCCTTCAGTCAATGGCCAACGCTCTAACCACTGAGCAACCAGTTAGGGCAACATACACCTATTGTCTCACACTTCCTGTGGGTCAGGAAACCTGCACATGGCTTTTCTGGGTCCTCTGCTTCAAGATCTCTCGTAAGGCTGCAGTCAAGGTGTCTGCCAGGCCTCTGGTCACACCTGAAAGCTCCACTGGGGGAGGATCTACTGCAAGCATACATAATTGTTGATAGGATTCAGTCTTTGTAGAAAGTGAAAGTCTTGCTTTCTTGCTGGCTTTTGACTAAAGGCCATCCTCAGTTCCTTGTCACATGACCTCTCTTCATAAAACTATATAAGCCAGGAAGGCAATAGAAAGAGTCTACTAGCAAGACAGAAGTCACAATCTCTTGTAACCTAATCACAGAAGCGGTATTCAACAACTTAGCCACATTCTATTGGTCAAAAGCAAGTCACTAGTCTAACCCACACTCAAGGGGAGAGGATTACACAAGGCATGACCACCAGGAGGTGGGAGTCATTGAGGACCATCTTGAAAGCTGTCTACCACAGTTGATATATATATTCAGGTTTCTTTATTGTCAGATACAGCTTTTTCTACTAGACCAAACAAACTGATTGTGTGATTGTGAAACACTAAATGTTTACTGTGATAAGCCAAATAATGCCCCCACCAAAAAAATAAAAATGTCTATGTAATCCCTTACAGGGCATAAGGGACTTTGCAGGTATGATTAAGTTAAGAATTTTGAGATGGAGAGATTATCCTGAATTATCCAGGTAAGGTCTCATGTAATCATACAGGTCCTTATAACAGAGAGGCAGAGAATCATAGTCAGAGAAGGTGATGTGATGATGGAAGCGGAGGCTGGAATGGTGCTGCCACAAGCCAAGGAATAGGGGCAGCTTCTAGGAGATGGAAAAGGCAAGGAACAGAGGCTCTCCCCTGGAGCCTCCAGAGGGAAAATCAGCTGTCACTTGATTTTAGCCCCATAAGACCCATTTAGTACTTCTGACCTCCTGAACTGTGAGATAATGAATCTATGCTGTTTTAAGCCACTAGGTTTGTGGTAATTTGTTCTCTTAGCAATAGGAAACTAATACACTTACCAAGGATCTTGAGGAAACCCATCTGTGGCGCTTTTTAAGGAACAAGGGGAGGTACAAGGCATAGGACGATGGGCTTCCAAGGGATTTTCCTGCTCTCTAGTGATTCTGAAACAGTTCATGTATTGTAGCTTCTATTTTTAGGAAAGTATTTCTAGTTCTCTTCAGTACTAAATTCTGTCAATAGTGAACGGGTAAAAAATTTCGTAGGGTTAGTTATATGGGCCTCACATACTCTTCAAAATAAAACAAAAGTGTGGCATTTAGCAGACGACACTAGGCTTCCATTTTTAAAGTTTGTTACTTGTTATTTATTGTGCCATAGGAGTGGAAATATTGGCTGAGATGAAGGTACCTGGCACAAAACACTTTTCCTTCTTGTTGTTTCACAGCCAGATGTTGTGAAATTCTTTTGTTTTTCTTTTTTCTACAGTGCCTGGAAACCTTGGCTGCTACAAGGATCATGGAAACCCACCTCCTCTAACTGGCGCCAGTAAAACATCTAACAAACTTACCATACAAACCTGCATCAGTTTTTGTCGGAGTCAGAGGTTCAAGGTAACTGCTCTGTGGCTATATATCTATAGAAACAGGTAAAGATGTAAAAGTGACTTTAAACTATATATAAGTTTTTGAAATATAACCTGTGAAGCCATACAACTCTGTTTATCCGCCAAGGAGAAGTTGGATGAAGATTGGGGCTTGGGAATGAGGAGTATGAGGCAGTTCTCTTGTCCAAAGACTGAAAAACCCCAATATCGGCATCCCTATTTGACTTCTGACAGAGTTACTTATTTCCTTGTGCGTGTGTGTTATGAGCAGGAACATCTCTGGCTATATGGGCGATCTGGGAATAAACCAAGGGAGTGGTTGCTTCCTTGATAAATTCAGGGGCCCGGCCTGGACACCAGTCCAAAATATTTCCTTCCTCTCCATTCCTCTATCTGAAATTCATTCGTTGGCCATTAAGATTCAATAATGCTATTGTTTGTTATATCAAAAAATAAGAAAATTAGGTTGTTTCATTTCCTTCCTTCCCTTTCCTTTTATCTCTTACTCTTCCCTCCCTCAGTGTGTAATGACCTGTTGTAAGAATGGGACAAGGAGAGGTCCCAGGGGAAGGGTGGGCTGGGAAGATGAGGCTGGCTGCTTTCTGGGGACCAACCTTGCCAGGATCCTTCAGTTCACTTGACATCCCTGATTGACACTTACCAAGTCCTGCTTCTCTATTGTGGCAGTTTGCTGGGATGGAGTCAGGCTATGCTTGCTTCTGTGGAAACAATCCGGATTACTGGAAGTATGGGGAGGTAGCCAGTACTGAGTGCAACAGCGTCTGCTTCGGGGATCAAACCCAGCTCTGTGGTGGCGATGGCCGGATCATCCTCTTTGACAGTGAGTATGCCTTGTGCCTGTCACTGTTGAAGACACAGGAACCCTTGGGCCAGGGGAACAAGCCTGCCCCCCACTTCTTTCCATGTATTATTTTATTCACTTGGTGATACTTGTTAAGCACCTACTGCAGGCCAGGCACTGACCAGACCCTGCCATACAGCGCTGAACAAGAAGACTCAGCCCTGTCCTAGAAAGGAAGACATTCATTTAACAAGTAATTAATGACAGTTGTGTCATGTGCTGGAGAGACATGGCCTTTTGGGAGATACTTAGACATCCTAGAAAAGATGACCTTTCCAATTTCATGTAAACACTGACATAATTACTCAGTATTAGCTTTAAGATCTTCGTGTGTGTGTGTGTGTGTGTGTGTGTGTAAATCGATTATTTTAGAGAACGAAAGGAAAAGAGAGAGAGAAACATCAATTTGTTGTTCCATTCATTGGTTACTTGTGTGTGCCCTGACCGGGGATCGATACCACAACCTTGGCATATAGGAATTATGCTCTCACCAACCGGGCTACCTGGCCAGGGCCTGTCTTGTTTGTTTGATTTTTTTGTTTTTTTAAAAGATCCTCTTGCTCTGGTTGGTGTGGCTCGGTTGGTTGGAGCATCGTCCCATGCACTGGAAGGTCTCAGGTTTAATTCCCAGTCAGCACACATACCTAGGTTATGGGTTCAATTCCCCCGGTTTGGGCACATATGGGAGGCAACTGAGTGATGTATCTCTCTCTCTTTCTCTCTCTCTCTCTCTCTCTCTCAAAATCAATTTAAAATTTTTTAAAATAACATAATAAAATGAAAAATGAAATGAAGAACTGACGCGTGCTACCACGTGATGAAGCAGACACATCAGGCCACACATTTTGTTATTCCGTGTGGCCCAAAGAAGTTTCCTTAGCATTTTCCCTAATGCCAGTCTGCTGTCAGTGGTCACTCTCAGCTTTTGTTTGAGAAAGTCAATTCACCTTCACTTTTGAAAAATGTTTCTGCTGGATTTTGAATTCTGTGCTGACAGGTTTCCTTCTTTTAGTACTTAAAAAAATATTTCTTCTTTGTTTGTGGCTTGCATCGTTTCTAGAGATGGCTGCTCCAGCTTTGTTCCCCTATATATATATAGGCTTTTCCCTTCTGCCTGCTTTCAGGGTTTTATCTTTGTTTTCAACACTAGCTATGATGTGTCTAGGTATGGTTTTTTTAATGTTTATTTTTTAATTTATTTGCTTGGAGTTTGGTGAGATTTTTAGATTATTTTTCATTGACCTTGGAGCATTCTTAGCCATGTATTTTCTCTGCAAATATTTCTTCTGCCTTGTTCTCTTTTTCTTTTCTTTCTGGGACTCCAATTGCATATTGTTAGACCATTTGATATTATCCCACAGCTGTTGGGTGCTGTTTTGCCTTTTTCACTTAATTTTTTCTCTGTTTCATTTTGGATAATTTCTATTGACCTATTTTCAAATTATTTTATTCTTTCCTCAACTTTGTTTAGTCTGTTTATAAGCTCATCAAAGGGATTTTTTTATCTCTGATAATTGTTTTATTTCTAGCATTTACATTTGACTCTTTTATATAGATTTCATATCTCTGCTGAAATTTCCAGTCTGTTCAAGCATATGGTCCATCTTTTCCACTAGGTCCTTTCTCTATTAATCACGTAGTCTCTGGTAGTTCTAATGTCTGGGTCATTATTGAGTCTGGTTCTGTGGATTTACTTCTCTCTCTTTTTTAAAAATTGAGATATGATTGACATTATATTCATTTTAGGTTTGCAACATAATAATTTGAGATTATATATATATATATATATATATATATATATATATATATATCAGATGTATTATCTCTTGACAATTAGTCTTTATCCCCCCCTTTCTTTTTTGCTTGCTTTTATGTGTGTGTTATAATATTTTATTGAATGCCATACACGATGTGCAAAAGAACAGCAGAGGCTGAGGTCAATAGAACTTACCCCTGGAAAAGGGCAGGCCTGTGCAGTGTGGGGACTGAGCCTTTGTCGGTGGTGAGCTGGGTTTGGATTTTCTTGCTTCTGTCATTGTCTTCAATGCACATCAGGTTTCAGATCCCTTCAGTGATGAGCTGCTGTTACCTGTGCTTCGTGTGGAGCCTGGGATGCCAGTGGGCTTCTTCAGTGTTCCTGTCCCACCCTCAGCTTTAGGTAGTTGCTACATGCCTATGCCACCCAGGGGGTCTTCCCCTCCCTCAGTGCTGTTGCCTGTTACTTGGTGCTATGCTCTGTGAGGTCAAGGGGTGGGGAGATGTCTTGGTCCTCCTGTCCATCCTCAGACTTAGGACATATTACTGGGGTTCAGGGGTGGGACCTTTTTAGCATCCCTGCACCCCTCCACCCCTCCCTGGCAGCTAACCACTGCCTTGCATCGGTGCTGGCTCTTGGGAAGGAGAGCGTTTCTGCCCTGCTTTCATTGGTGCAGGATCCTGGGCTCAGGGCAACACGGGGTTGGTGGCTTTTGCCTCTGCTCTTCCCCCAGAAGCAGATCTTTGCCTGGTTACTTTGGCAGGAAGGAGAGAGTTTCCTACTCCCTCTCCCCAGGGGCAAACAGGTTTTGTTTCTACCCTGGCTCTGGGAGCAAGAAGGTTTGCTGCCCCTCTCCCAGCAGCTTAAAGCTGTGCTTCCTTTGGGAGGGGGTTGTGGTGGGTGCTGGGTGGGCCTGCCCAGAATTGCCTGCAACTGAGTGCAGACCCCTGTTGTGTCTGGGGCTCCAGACTGAGAGGCTAGCCCACACTCAACCTTTAGGGGGTTGTTAAAATTTAGCTGCTTGCTTCTTACTTGCTTCTATGGTGGCTACCTCTTCCTCTTGTTCTGTCAAAGACGAAACACTTTGGTGTGGTCCGACTCTCCTTGGAGGGGCTTCTTGCTGTTTAGAATTAAATTTCCTTTGTCTTCAGACCTCAGCTTTCTGACAGGCTGATAAAAGTTTTGAGCTTTTTTCATTGTTTGGATGAAAGCATCCTCTTACTGCTTTCTACATCCTAAAGGGAAGTGGAACTCCCCCAAAGCTTTGTAAATCCCAGCCCCACACTCCCTCTCAAGGACGTTCACATCCAGGACCTTGTTTATACTTCACCACGTAAGATACGGTCAAGTGGTTGTATCCCCTTCCTGGAACCTGCAAATCAAAAGCGGAGTCCAGAGAAATCAGACGTGCTGACAGTGATCAGACTGAGTGAGTCTCCTCCAGGCAGAAAGTCAGTTCTCGTGTGGACCGTCGTGTGCCTTGCTCCTCTAAGGTATCAGGGATGCCCCAGTGCTGTAAGGCCCTTCTTTTTCATGGCTTTACCTCACGGAGTGCCTCCCCTGCAAGAGGGCCCACTGTTTTATCTCATCTGTCCTCACACATTCATGTGATACAGGAGCAGGTGGTGGTCTCTCCAACCTCAAGACTGAAAGAAGTGAGAGGCCTGGAAGTGAAGGATCACATGGCCCAGCTGGTCCCAAACCCAGACTCTCTGACTCCAGCCTGGCCCCCACCTAGGCCACACCACTGTGCTGTGTTCTAATTCTAAGGTCTCCTGGGCAAAAAAAGAAAAAAAAGCTTCCACAGTCATTTGTTCAGGGTTTAAGTGATTCATTTGGTGATTTGATCCCGAAACAGAAGACAGTCTGGCTTTCTAGACTAAAAACAATGTCCTAAACTGGATCACGTTCAGAAGTTCAGAAGAATTGGTTGTAACTGGTTAGAAAGTGAGCCCTGTGGCTGAGCTCAGGCTGAGGGCTGTGTCCTTTTGTCTCCCACAGCTCTCGTTGGCGCCTGCGGTGGGAATTACTCGGCCATGACTTCTGTAGTCTATTCCCCTGACTTCCCTGACACCTACGCCACAGGGAGGGTCTGCTACTGGACCATTCGGGTCCCGGGAGCCTCCCACATCCACTTCAACTTCACCTTATTTGACATCAGGGATTCTGCAGACATGGTGGAGCTGCTGGACGGCTACACCCACCAAGTCCTGGTCCGTTTCAATGGAAGGAACCGCCCACCTTTGTCCTTTAATGTCTCCCTGGATTTTGTCATTTTGTATTTCTTTTCTGATCGCATCAATCAGGCCCAGGGATTTGCTGTCTTATACCAAGGTAAGACTTTCCCGTGTGTCTCTGGCTCCTCTTGCACACCCTGGTGACCTGTGGAGCTTGGGCAGTTCTTGCTGGGAGATCTTAGTCAGGAGCTACTGACTTAACTTACGGGTTTCCCCCCTCCCATTTCATAACTTGTATATGTTTCATGATACAGAAAAGAGGTGAAACCTGTAATGTTTGCCATGTTAGTAGTCCTAATGACAGTTTCCATGGGAGGGTTAAAAGAACAACCAAAAGAAAGAACTGAGGCGGATAGAATTGGAAGGCTCTAAGGAGGTCATTTGGTCCATCACCCTGTCTCTCAGGACCCAAGCCACCCACAGAAGATTGGTTTCCCATCTTTCTTTAAATCCTAAGGTGAAGCCCCACTCTATGTCTCTCTAATGTGGGCACATGTGTTCCAGGCACATATCTTTGCCAGCACATGAGAAACAGGGGTGTCTAAGACCTGATCTTTGTCTTAGATGTCAAGGGCCTCAAGAAGAGTTCACTCAGTATGTGCTACAGGGAGCCCGAGGGAGGAGGCTACTCCACAGGTGGGACAGTCTTGGAGAACAGGTAGGATTTGGGTCAACAGATAGAAAAGACCAGGGCTTTCCAGGCAGAAGGAGCCATAGCTGCAAAGGCACAAGGTAGGAAATGATAAAGTGTTCTCAGGTGTCCACAGACAGACCAGTCAGATGATTAGAAGTTGACAGTGCGTTCCTTCTGCCTTCTTCAGGGCCAGAGCCTGGCAGGTTCTGCGTGGAGGCCAGTGGAGAGAATTACATCCAGAATTGGATCAGAGAAAACAGCCTTTCTACTAACCAGGAGCTCCACTATAGAACCAGTGCCTCTTCCTCCCTAGTTCCTCATTTTCCTTATCAGCTTTCCCCCAGTTCATTCCTTTTGATCTTCCAGCTGTTAAGGAAGAACCACCACAGGAGAGGCCCACTGCCAACCAGACGTTGGCCGAGGTGATCACGGAGCAGGCAAACCTCAGCATCAGCGCTGCCCGGTCCTCCAAAGTCCTCTACGTCATCACCACCAGCCCCAGCCACCCACCACAGACCGTCCCAGGTAGCAGTTCCCGGACACCATCAAAGGGGGTGGAAGCCACAGAGCTTGAAGGCAGTGTCCTTGGCAGTTACAAAATCAGAGTACTCTTGGGTGTTTCTCATTCCAAGGCAGGTTGGGGTCCTGGCTCTGTCACCATGTTTGTCCTGGCCTTTGAGGGACATGTTCTCATTAGCTTGACTCCTTAGTCCTTAAGGAAAAGTGTTCACCTCCATAGAGACAACATGTGTGCCTTTTGTACATTATGATTAATCAGCTAGTCCAGTGTTTTCTCACATTGAGAATATCTTTCTAGAACCCCAAGTTGTTGCTCCCTAAATTGGCAATTTCAGGAGCTCTACTTACTCATTCATTCGTTCAAAAGATACATAAGTGCTTTAATGGTACCAGATGCTATTCTAGGCACTGGACTATACAATGAACTGAATAAATCTTCCCTCCAGTGGTTTATAAGTAGGAAGAAAAAACAAGAAGCAAAATAAAAAGTCAGATAGTGATAAGAGCTATGGAGAAAAATCATGCAGGAGAAGGATAGAGAGTGGGTAATGGTCTTGTGGTTTAACTTGGTTGGGTACAGACTTCCATTCTCTCTTTTCTGCCAAGGAAATTGGGGCCTTTGTGAGCTGATAGAGCTGTAGCGTATTGTTAGCAATTACCGAGGCTAGAGATTTTCAGACTGTTCTCCAGGTCCCCCGCAGGACCCTCCATAGAAGGTCAGGGCAGAGAGCCTCTCTAGTGCTTGCCCCACGTCATTTGTTTGTGAATCCCGATAGGATTTCACTGGTCACACATCTCATTCCTCAGGCGAGGAAACTGAGGCCCACAGAGTCTCTGTAACTCATTTGTGGCTGCACAGTGGGTCCGGTAATAGAGACAGAATGTGCACCATCATTTTTGACTGAGTCCAGTGCATCTTGGACCACACCACCTGCCTCTCTCCAAGAGGGAGCCCCGAAGCCAGGCGAGGTGCTCCAAAGGCTGGACTCCATGCGGCCTGGCGCTTAGCTGCATTTGGTCGTCTTTCCCACTTGCAGGGAGCTCCTTGGCCAGACCTGCGTCTCTGAGCTGCCAGCCTCAGGGCTTCCTTCTGAAAACTGAGCTCAAGCAGGTCTGATGGGCCCTGTCTTTTGCAGGATGGACAGTGTATGGCCTGGCAACTCTCCTCATCCTCACAGTCACAGCCATCGTAGCAAAGATCCTGCTGCACGTCACATTCAGGTGAGTACGACGGAGCTGCCCAATGCCAGGAGCGAAGGCTCAGAGCTCCTTTTCTACGAGCTTTGTTTGTCTGGGTGAAAGCGTGACAGCAGAACATGACCCCAGAGCCCTCAGTCCTAGGGAACATATGACAGTGAGATTCCTCATTCTCTGGAGAGTGAGATGTACAACTGGACAAGTTTCACTGAGTCTGAGTGACTGTGTTTGCTACTGTGTCCAAATGATACAGTTTCAAGGGGGATTGAGACAGCCTGGGCATAAGAAACAACAATTTCCATGTTTTGCCTTGTGCTAGCCTTGAAGAGATCTTGATGCAGGAATAGAGATTGCTGGGATGGTACCAGGCACATTTCCCAGTGCCTTGTAGAAACCGGAAACATTCTTAGGAGGAGAAGCTAACATTTACTAACTATTCTTAAAGTCATTTTAAGGCAGTTATTTAAGAAGCTCACGGAAGCTTCATCCTTCAATTCTGACCATTTGGAAAAAAAACATTTTCCTCCTTTATTTTGCTGTTCAGGTTTAGCAGTTCTTCCTTCCGGGAAAGGTGCTACTGAAGTTTGTGTGTTTACAGAGGGCAGCCCTTTCTAATTTTTTCTGGACTTCTACTCTGTCTTCCCTGTGGCTCCCAGTGCAGCTCTCTCCTTTTTTTTTTTTTTTTTTTTTTGAGATATAATTGATATATAGGCTATCTGCATTTCAAGGCCTTCCTGAATGTTGGTGTCTAGTGAAAGCCACTTTTCCCTGACCTTCTCACTAGCCCTCAGCCACAGGCATTTATACATTAAGTGACGGCTCCTCCATTGCCCTCTGAAGGCTGTGGTCAGACTGGGACCACCCACACGCCTCTCCACCCTGCGCTTTACATTTTTCAGTGGAAACAGTGTCATTATTGTTTACTGAGCCCACTCACATGCCATATATATACTTTTTTTTTTTTTTAAGGCACAATTTACATGTTCTGGAAGCCTCTCTGCACAGTCCTGACCACGTGTCTACCACAATAGCAGGAGAGCAGGAGGCTTCCTATAGGGCCCAGCAGCTCACGGCACCCTGAGGCCCTAAAGTGCACTTCTGGCTCCTACCTGACCCTGGAGCCCCTCTGCAGCTTCCCTGCCACGCAGCATTGGTGCTGAGGCAGGACCCATTCCTGCAGAGTAGTTCTGCCTTTGCCCCGTTTTAACTTGATAAATGTAATTTGAAGAAAGCATTCTTCTATTTTTAAAAAATGAATTTGAAAACGCAATCTCTCAGGATAGCCCTTTCCAGATTGGAATAATTCTGCGAGTTAGCAAGTTCTTTGTTAAACTGAGCTGGAATCTGCCCCTCTGCACTCCCACCCCACAGGACGCATTTCATCGGCATAGTAGTCCTTCAGATCCCTAAAAGCAGCACTTAGGTCTTTCCCGTGACCTCCCCTCACCGAGCGTCCCATTTCATAGGTACAGGTCTCTCATGCGACGTAGGTTGTTTGGGCTGCTTTGTTCTACTGGGCAGGAAGAACTCTTACGTTATTTTTGTTTGACAGATCACATCGTGTTCCTGCTTCAGGGGACCTTAGGGATTGTCGTCAACCAGGGACATCAGGAGAAATCTGGAGCATTTTCTATAAGCCTTCTACTTCCATTTCCATCTTTAAGAAGAAGCTCAAGAGTCAGAGTCAACAAGATGACCGTAATCCTCTTGTGAGTGACTAAAAGCTCCCCCATGCCCAGGACAGGAGGTTCCTCTGAGTCAAGGCCACAGGGACCACCTCTCCTGTGGTTTCCTCTGATGAACTCTTCCCTGCCTCTCCCTCGGCCTCTTCAGAGGCACCTGCCAATGGACTGGGAAGGGGCGCCCTGCTGCAGGGGCAGGCGTAGCCTGGATTCGTCCTGCTTCATCAGCTGCACTTAAGAGAGAAACTCAACGTCCCAGGGTCTGGCCCTCCTGTGTGTGTGTGTGTGTGTGTGTGTGTGTGTGTGTGTGTGTGTGTGTGTGTCTGATCCAGGAATGGGGGTGTCAGGATTCTGGGGCTGAGATGACAAAGATGGTTGTGTCCAGCACTGGGTTCAGGTATATTCTAGATGACTGTCAGGTGGTGGGTAAGTGTAGTGTGCCTTGAGTCTTGCTTGCTTCTTCTCTGTTTTTTTCCACACATAGATCACTTTCTCCTGGTCTTTGTGGTTTAGAAGAAGGCCAGGCAGAGAATTCCGAAGTTCTCTTGAGGGTTGGCCTGGTCCTCTACTCCTGGGTATTAGCATCCCCAAAGCCCTAAAAGGGCCCATGCTCTGTGCTGACTCGGGCTTTGCTCTCTGGGTGCTGGATGAGAAAAGTGCTCCTCAGTCTTTGACAGCCTGAGAATGAGGTCTTCTGACCCCCATTCATGTCAAACCTGAAGCCTCCCACATTTGGGCTTCTTCCCATAGCTTGGTGAGCAACAGAACAAGCTTGTGGAGTGGTCGTATAAAGCATCCATGATTTATTCACACATGTGACTTCACTGAAAGCTTGTCTAGGTGCTCAGTAACTTCTTGTGGAATTGGATTTGACTGGCCTTGCCCCAAACGGCTGGTGGTGCTGTGGCACCTGAGCCAGGCCCTCATCTCTCCATGATTCTCTAAGCTGACTCTCAGTTCAGAAACAGGAATATGAATCTCATGGCTTAGCATCTGGGCAGCATTATGGAAGACAGGGTGCCACAGTCCCCCTTTAGCTGTCCCTCATTGTGAAAGAAGACAAAAACCCCTCACTGCGCCCATGTTCTCTGCGGCCCTCTCTGCCCCTTCTACGGGAACGGAATGGCTTGGTGGGGAGGGAGAGAGCTCTTACCCCTGATCCCACACAACCCTGCCCTGGTTGTGAGAGTCTGTCTCTCTGGTTTAGAAGTGCCCACCGCCCACAAGCAGCTTTGTCAGCAGCAGTGAGGAGAGCAGCCTGGGCCACTGAAGGCCGGGTCTGGGCCTTGGTCAGAACATGACTCTCCCTCAGGCACTTGGGCCTTGGGCCTTGCTGTGCCTCTGGCCTCCCAGGTTCCCTCTTTGCAGCACTTTGCCGAGTTTCCCCAAGTCCCTGAGCTACTGCCTGCCATGGCCCTTCCTGGGGTTCTGCCGCGTTGGCAACCCGTCTGAAACTGGCTGCTGCCAGAAAAGCGGGGCAGCGGGGAGGTATCCACAGGGAGAAGTGACACTTGGCAACCAGGAGAGATGCCAGGAGCTGGAGGCAGAGGGGCCTTCAGAGGGGGAACAGGGCCGTGTGTCCACAGGGGGGCAGGGGGGGAGGGGCGCTGCTCCAGGCACCACGTGAGACCCACCACAAGCATGGGGCTGCTTGGTGCTGTCTTCACGCTTTGATCTGGAAAGGCCGTTTCCCGGGAGCAGCTGTCCACAGACCCGGGGTCTGGAGACAGAAGTCTGTCCCATCGAGGACCACCGGAAATATACTAGCATGTGCAGTCTCCCTTCCAAGCTATTCCTGGCGTTTGAGGAATCTCCTCTCAAACACAAGTGTCAGGTGTGCAGTAACAAAGGGCGCTGAGCTGTGAATACACCCACATCCAAGGGAATGTGGGATTTGGCAAAGGGTTCGCCCAGCCAACAGGCAGCGCAGCTGCCTAAGACTTACTCTGGTCACTGGCCTTGGGAGCCGCCCGCCCGCCCCGCTCACCTCACACTGGTCACAGGGGCTAAGCCCCAAGCCAGTGTGTTGTCTGAGCGGCAGCAGAATCAGCCCTTTCTCAGAGATCCTGGAAGCGCTGGTGACGCCCCAGTGCTCTCCTTCCGCCGGTCCTGGAACAGCCCAGTGCCTCCAGGATCAACTTACTGCCCAGGGAGGGGCCACGGGAATCCCAAACCAGCTTCAGGACAGCATGGGGGAAGAGAGCCCTAAACCGTCGCAGGCTGAACCTCCACACACTCCTCGGCCACAGCCTGGCCATGTCTTGGTTGGAGCCTGTCAGCAACACCCCACAGAGGGTCCCCTGTGGCTAAGTAAACAGCTGAGAAAGCAAGAGGTGAGGTGTGCCCCCAGGAGGCACTTGGCCTTTTAAGACACTGCTCGAGAAGAGAGAAAGTGGGGTTGGAGGTGATTGGAAAGGGTGACCCTGAGAAAAGTCCATTACCGATCACATTGCGGAAGATGATGAAACAGGAAGGTGGGGGGGGGAGGGCTCTGGGGACCACCGTGGACAGTGGCTCTGAAAGCATCCAGTCCACAGCCTCTGCCCTGAGGTGGGTGAGTGGAGGAGGCTGCAAGTAGGTGCCTCAGGACCTGCGTGCCCTCCTCATCCCGTTCACTGCTGGTAGCCAGGCCCTGGCTCTCCGTGTATGTCCCACCATGAGGGAGGGCCACTGCTCTTGTTGCCTCCCCTCTCCTTCGCCGTGTTTCAGTGCCCTTGGCCCCTCTAGAAGGCACTCAGTGCCCGTGTTCTTCCCCATGTGTCGCTGCTTACAGAATAGAGAAGGAGTAGGAATGAACCCCAGGTACCTACCCCCACACCCCATGTCAGAACAGGGTACAAGGCCTCTGGGAATAAGCGAGGTAAGGTGAGCGCTGTAACTTCTGAAGTGTGGGCTCTGGCTCAAGATTCCAGTCAGCCAGAAACCCACGAAGATCAAAGCACTAGTGAATGCCGCCATCCTGGACCTCAGGCCAAACCTGTGGAGAAAGGCCTCCCCACATGCCCCATCGTCAGCTCAGGCAGGAGGCGCCTGACCCAGCTGAGGATCCGGCCAGGCCATCCCAGTACCAGCGGGCACACAGGCTGTCGCCAAGCCTCTGTGCGTCCCGTCGAGCACTTAATCCTCACCAGCACTTAGTGGATGGCCTCAGAGATCCCAGTCTCCCCTGCCTGCCGAGGCCACCCCAGGTCTCCCGCAGAGCAGGCCAGCTCCACGCCATAGCCCCGTCAACTGGCACCCTCTTGGGTTGCAGATCTCCTATGTGGTGTTTGATGCAGGCTATTGTTACTACCTTGGGAATTTTTAACCTTTTACTTGTTTCCTCTGGTGTCTTTGTTTACCTTCCTCACTCTTCTACCTCCTGGCCAGGTCTCTCAGCTTAGCTGCCCTGGCGTGGGGTATTTCTCAAACCTTCCAGCTGCAGCTGCCTCCCCTCAGGCTGGCCGGCTCAGGGGTGAAAGGGCCTCCCCCGCTGCCTACAGACCCAGGGGGGTGCCCATTGCACAGGCTTGTGTCTTGTGAGTCCAGCATACTCAACAAGACGGAAGTGGAGTGTGGAAGAAAGTCCGAGGCAAATCTGCTTCAGAAAGAATGTGTCTTCGGGAGCACGTGGCGGGGAGCTGCCATCGCAGGGGTCACGCAGCGTCCAAACCTGCCCACGTCCAGGCTCACCTTCCTGTGGGGATCTTGACTTTGGATGACAAGGCTTTATTTGTAAATATGCTCTTAATATGCAACTTTGAGAATAAAATAGAAACATCATGTATTTTAAAATATAAGATGAAGTGTGACGCACTGTATACAATTTAATATATATTTTTAGGGGTTTTGTTATTTAAGAAAATGGAATGTAATGGTACTTAACTTTTACAAAAGAGAGAAAAATGTTATTTTTACTGCCTGGAGAAAATAAATATTCTCATTGTTGTAGAAATGGGATGGGCCCTGTCTTGTCGTCTTTATGGGCGCCCCTCCCCCCCCCGGACCCCAAGAACGGTGTCGCGTGCAGGGAGACCCTTGCTCTTCCTAACCTGTGCCCATGCCAGGCCGCACTGTTGGCTCAGTTTTTCCCAAGTGTCTCCAGGTTCCCTCAGGTCTCGCCGCAGCTCTGACCCGCAGTGATCTTCAGCTGGGAAGATCCGAAAGAGTTGGAATTCCAAATCTGCATGCCAACCCGGTGAGACGGGCGGTTCTCGGGGACAAGCACGAGGCTCTGCACTCAGAAAAACTTAGGTTTGAATCCACCTTGAGGTGGTCAAACCACTTCTCCGTTTCCCCTCCCTGTAAATGTAATAATATCTGTGCCCCAGAAGGTAATGAAGATGAAGTGAGAAAAGATGTCTAAAACACTCACGTAGTTACTATCCCAGGTGGAATTCGTCTTGCCTCTCAGAGCAGCCAGCTCTTCCTCTGCCCACGCTCCTTTGTAATAACATCAATGGAATCTCTGTGAGTTGCCCGCTCTGCGCCCAGCTCTCTCCTGTCAGGCACTGTGTGTACCCTGACAGCCCTTTCTACAGGTACTGTCGCCCTGTTTCGCCAGTGAGGAAACGGGCTCAGAGAGCAGCGTGGGGTGGTAATGGAGAGCACAGCCCTAGAGTCGGCCTACAGGATTCCGCTCCCCCCACTCACTTGCCGAGGGACCAGGAAGTGTAAAACAGGGAGGCTTCGGAGGGTTTCGGTGGAGGAGTGACAGCAGATTCCTAGTTGAGAGGGATAGGCACTTGCATTAGGAAAAACAGATTGGAGTGGGTAAGACCGAGGGTGAGGAGGCCCATCAGAGCCTCGGAGGTACACAAGTGAGAGACTTGGGCGACCCGACCAGGCCCCCAAACCAGCCCTGGAGGGAGGGGAGAACCAGGTGAGAGTAAGCTGGCTACACCCTCGGGCCAGGGGTCAGTACTCAGGGTCTGGGCTCACATCCCCACCCCACCGCTTATCACGTGACCTTGGGCCAGTGACTCAGCCCTGTGTGCCTACTTTCCCATCTGTCAGATGGGGGCAGTTCAGTGCCTGCCCACGGAGTTGTGATGAGTCATCAGTATCGTTTCAGCAAATGGTAGCTGTGCCTTGTTGTTGTAGAGTAGAGGTGGGGGGTTAAGAACAAGGAGACGTGTCTAGGATACAGCTCACATGTATTTCAATGGTTAATACTAGAAATGTTTTCAGAGGTCTTTATTCAGAAGTCTGGTGATGTTTTGTGAGCAGAAATAAGCCTTAGGAGCCCGACTCCTGTCTATATCCTTTAGCCTATGGTAAAATTATTTTCATTATACTTCACGTAGAGTCGCAATTTCCAAGAACTTATCAACGACGTTAAGTGAGGACTTACTATGGTTCTCTGGCAGGCACCTTACCTGGACATGGAGTTCATGGTCCTCTCTTTCCCTCTGTCCTCTCCCCAGCCGACCTTGGCCTGCACCACAGCAGCCAGCCCCAGCCCTGCGGTGGCTGTTGCGATATGATGGCCCCTGAAAGCTTCACTCAAGTGTTTCTCTTCTCTGAACTTTCCTTCTGTCTTTCCCAGGAGCTCTTTTTGACTTTGTGAAATGTTACGTATAGTTGGTATACAATATTATATTAGTTCCAGGTGTACAGCATAGTGATTCAACATGTATATACTTTACAATGCGATCTTCACACTAAGGCTAGTAATCACCTGTCACCAGGCAGTTATCACAGTGTTACTGACTATATTCCCCTTCTCCTTTTCTACCTATCCCCCCCCACACACACACACACACACACACCCTCCGCTCTTCTGGCAACCATCAGTTCAATCTCTTTCTATGAGGCTGCTGTTTTTGTTGTGTGTTGTTTATTCATTTGCATGTTGTTGTTGTTTTAGATTCCACATATAAGTGAAACCATATGGTATTTGTCTTTCTTCATCTGACTCTCTAGTTCTATCCATGTCACAAATGGCAAGATTTCATTCTTTTTTTATTGCTGAATAAACTTCCACTGTGTGTGTGTGTGTGTGTGTGTGTGTGTGTGTGTGTGTATCACATTTTTATCCATTCATCTATCGATGGACATCTAGGATGCTTCCATATTTTGGCTATTGTAAAAGATACTGCAATGAACATAAAGGTGCATATATCTTTTTTTTAATTTATTGTTGAGAATCTTACAGATGTCCCCCATTTTTCCCCCATTGCTCCCTTTCAACTGGCTCCCACCCCAGGCCTTCACTGCTCTATTGTCTGTATCCATGGGTTATACATATATGCATATAAGCTATTTGGTTAATCTCTGCATATATCTTTTTTTTATTATTATTGATTTTTTACAGAGAGGAAGGGAGAGAGATAGAGAGTTAGAAACATAGATGAGAGAGAAACATCGATCAGCTGCCTCCTGCACATCTCCCACTGGGGATATGCCCGCAACCCAGGTACATGCCCCTGACCGGAATCGAACCTGGGACCTTTCAGTCCGCAGGCCGACACTCTATCCACTGAGCCAAACCGGTTTCGGCTGCATATATCTTTTTGAACTTTTCGGATAAATACCCAGGGGTAGAATTGCTGGGTAACATGGTAGATCCATTTTTGGTTTTTGGAGGAATCACCATACTGTTTTCCATCGTGGCTGCACCAATTGGCAGTCCTATCAGTAGTGCACAAGGTTTTTTCTCCACGTTTTCACCAACATGTTATTCATTGGCTTTTTTATAATAGCCATTCTGACAGGTGTGAGGTGGTATCTTATTGTGGTTTTGATTTGCATTTCCCTGATAATTAGTTGAGCATTGTTTCATATGTCTGTTGGCATCTGTATGTCTTTAGAGAAATGTTTTTTCTGTCCTCTGCCCATTTTTTTAATTGGATAGATTATTTTATGTTTCTGAGTTATATGAGTTCCTTATACAGTTTAGTTATCAACCCCTCATCAGATATGTCATGTGCGAATATATTTTGAAGGAAAATCTTTTCATGGCTGGTGGAAAACAAATGGGGTGGCCCACTAGTAAATTTCTTAGAGACAGCTTAGCCTGCAGCAGAAAACTAAATGCAGCCAGAATGTGCAGCTGTCCTGCCTGAAGCAGGACCAGGAAGAGCACCCCAAACCCATCTGCAGGGACTTGGGGCACCACTCACCTTAACCTCACCTCCTTGTTTTCCGAAACCTGAGAGATTTGGACATTGTAACACCCGCCCTCTGGGGAGCCCACACCAGGGCAGCATCAGCCTCGTCCTTTGTCAAGCAATCAAAGGCTCTTCTTCCTGTGGAGACGGAAAGGGCTGGACAAGGGTGACCTTGTCTCCAAGCTTGGAAATCACATGATCATCTCCTCTTCCCCCCTGGGCTGTGTGAGCCTGAAACTGCAGACCAGTCTCTGGGACTCTGAGAACTGGAGAGCTTTTGTTCCTCTGTGGCAGGGTCGGGTCCCTGTGGGGGATTGTTTTTGCTTGGCTGAAAGGGGAACTTGGGGAACAGAATATTTCAACCTCAAGAAGCAGCAACATTTGCTTGTAGCTGGAAGTCTTCATTTCTGGTCTCCAGCTGTTGTCTGGAGCCACCAGGCCCCTGCTGAATGGGACTACACCCGGCAACTGGGGGCTGGCAGCACTGGGCTCGGCTGGCCGTGGACCAGCCCGTGTCTAGGGGGCCCGTCTCCAGGACAGCCCTGGGGCAAGGACAGCCTCAGCCCTCCCGACGCTGGACGCTGGGCCCTGGCATGAACCTGCTAACTGTGGAGGACTGGGCTGGGGAACCAGGCCCCACAGAGGAGCATTTTAGGAGGAAAATAGATTCAAGTCTGAGGTCCAGGCTCCCTCCTCAGGGGGGAAAAACAGAAAGATCTAAAACAGCCCAGGCTTTTGCAACTGAGAAGTTTCAGATTTCACTTATTTCACTCTTAGGAACGTTTACCATTGTCCCTGTTCAAATGAGGCCACTGGACTTTTACAAACTTAACTGGGCACCCGCTATTTTGCACACTGATCATGTGACTGTTTCATGGACTTGCCTTAGTTGCTGGTGCCACAGATGAATTGGATCAAGAGCATTTGAGGGGTAGTCAAACCTCATATTTAACCTAATATGGGGCAGCTTTTTACGGGCCCCTGGGACAAGCTGAGGAAAGAGCTTTTGAATGTGCAAGGATGGGGATAGTAATTGCAATAATAACAGCAGCTAACATTTCTGCAGCCCCTACCAGTATGTGTGTGAGACCCTGTACTGAGCACTCAACAGACATTGCTGAGTTCATCCGCGTGACAGCCCAGCCTGGGGAACGGAGGCTCAGAGAAGGGACCCAGCCAGCAGAGGGCAAGGCCAGGATTCAGCCCGCTCCAAAGTCAGGGCTCCTTATTCCTGCTGCACTTCAGGCCCCTCGGGGCAGGCAGGTGGGCTCAGAGAGAGGCCCCAGCTCCCTAATATCTCACCCTCACAGATGTTGCCTCCAGACAGCCTAGAAAAGTACAGATCAATTTGCCTGGGGCAAGGAAGGCAGCAAACCTACACTTCTTGCCCTACAGCCATGGCTCAGAGGTTGAGCATAGACCTATGAACCAGGAGGTTATGGTTCAATTCCTAGTCAAGGCATATGCCCTGGTCTCGGGCTCATCCCCAGTGTGGGGCGTGCAGGAGGCAGCCAATCAATGATTCTCATCATTGATGTTTTTATCTCTCCCTCTCTCTTCCTCTCTGAAATCAATTTTAAAAAGTGTTTTTTTTAAAAAAAAAAACCTACACTTCTTTACCTACTGAGAACACAAACCGCTTTGAGAATCAGGTGAATATTATCAGGCCCCTCCACCAAAAGATCCCACCTATAAAAATCTGCATAGAAATTCTGGAAAGTTAAAGACCCCCCTAAAGCCCTCCATGGGCTTCAGGTTTAGAACCTCTCCATTAAGCCGTAAGCATGGGTACCTGAAAGTTAAAACTAGACCAAAAGAGGATAACAGGAGTATTAATATAGTAACAGG